AAAAGAGAATGGTGATTCTGTTGTTTCTACTTCTCTTTTGTTGGGGATCTGCTAAAAAAGAATTTCTGCAATTCCATACATTGTGTCTGTACGTGAGTGTAGAGGCGCCACAGGTCTGCCGATCTTAAAATGCCATTTAGCTGTACCCCGCTTGCCTGTTACCTCAATCAAGGCTCCTCTCGCTTTAGAAATGCTTCTTAGCAGTCGCGTCTGCTCTTGTTTTAAGCCTTTTATTTTATAGCTTCCAACTTGCAAGTTACTTACTTGCTTTTTATTTTTAAGTTGAGTTTTTTGATTGTTTCAACTTTAACCTCTATTCTGCTTTTACAGTTCATATTACGTTAACGTTTTACTTTGTATTTCTTTAATGTAAATTTCTATATTCAGTTATGATAAATTTTAATACATTACACTTTAAAATAATTTGTTGCTGTTGATTCCATTAATTGCTAACAGTAAGTTTTTGGCTGCACTAGAAACTTCAGAAATTCTCTGCACCTGCTGCGCAAGCCTGCAGATTACGAACTGCAAATAGCAGATCTCAATTCGTGGCTAGGAAAACTTTTACGTTACTTTCAAGTGATATCTAAGTAAGTCAGGTTTGTGAATGCATAAAAAACATTCAAAGCTTCAAGTATTTATGATGCATAACTGTGCGGTGGTCTGGAGAATCAGTCGTTTTATTAAAAAACCTTTGGTAGGAGTCTATTAAGTTTGGAAAAATTTCGCTTGCATTGTTTGTTCTTAGACGACCGTGAATTTGCTGTGAAAAAAAACAGCTCCACTTTGATTTTGCACCAAAAACTTTTGCATCTTTTAGCTATATATATAAAAAGCTGTACTATATTTCTCTACCATATTCTTAAACGTGAACTACAATTAATTTAATTAGCAAATCTAAGTGCAGCAACCAACGATAAGATGGCAAAGTCTTATTTTCACTTTATAAACGGCTTTCAGTTGTACCACATTTTCTATTTCTAATTGTTATATAAAATTTAATCTTAAATCAAAGTATCGCGTTCTACTAAGTTAATCTGTCGAAAAAAATTGCAACTGTTCATGGTTGAAGATAGTGATTAGCAAATTGAGATCTGCAAGGGAATATTAAACGAGGTATAACTTGGAAAACTGCAGCTAAAGTAATAGTCTTAAGGCTTACAAAGAGTCTTTTTGCAAACTGCATAACACTGTTAAAGTGTGCTTTTAATAGAAAAAAACATAAGGTTTGAGTTACAGCAAATAGACAGATTAAAAAACAGCAAAAGATTGCAAAACATTTGTTGGAAGATCAGTAAGCTTAATTTAATTGTCGTCGACTGAAAGCAAATAAAGATTTATCTGAAAAAAAATTTTTTTGGTACCATTAACTATTGTAACTGAAGAACTGTTATATAATTCAGAGCAATTAGAAATAGAGACAATTTGTTTGTTGCAGAACTAATTTGGCTACAAATATGCAGTACTTCTTATCTTTTCATTATTCTAATTTCAACCAATCTTTTTATGCGTTTTGGATTACAGCTGCGGAAAACAGTGGTTTTACAATCGAAAAAAAAAAAAAAGATCTACGTCACTCATGTGACAAATATTTTTCTTCTACGTGATTACGTACGAAAACTTGTAATGTCGATCGGAAACAGTATTTTTCATCCTACGACAAACAATGGCATTAAAATGAGTATTATGTATAAAAAATATTGGATATATGAACCTTCAGAGGCGCGAGTCATAAGCCAAATAGTTGACAGCGAGTTACCCTTCAATTCTGATACCAATAAAGCTTTAGTCAAAACTACTTTCAGATGCTATCACGTGCTCTATTAAAATCTTTCAAAAGAAATAAGCAGAAAACAGGAGTGAAATTAATTGTTTTAAACGACACAAACTCAGAATCATCAAAGTCGCAAAATGCACCAAATCAGTTAATATCAATTTTGAAAGCGTCTTGCAAAAGTTTGTCTTGTTACTTACTGCAAAGGTTGTTTGAAATCAAACAATTTTTTGATGTAATCGTAGCTTACATTTTCTGACACTTTTTGATTCTTCAACTACACAGCTAACCATTTGTTTACAAACACACGACAACGGTCAAGTGATACACCAGGTGACGCTTCCGTGTAACTGATACCTTTTGAATGTCTATAACCTTT